GTGTGACCAAAATGTGGTTCCACTGCTGCTTGGGCAGGCAAGTGATGGCCAATCCTGTTCCATTCTGCTCACAAGATCTGATATCTGTAACATTAATTTAATCCCACGAACCAACATTAGAGACAATCAAGACTCGAGTACTTGTGCCAAGCAAGCGTATCGATATGACCTGAGGATTGTCAATAGAGTAGTAGAATCAATAATAGCGTATCCCACTCCTTAATTAGGCTTAATTAAAATCGGGGAGTTTTTGTTGCTTAATTTCCTCATAAGTGAACTTTTTTCTAGCTTTCAATTTGATTACCTTGGATATATCGAAAGGGTTGCTGGAGTCACAATTTGATGGGTAAGAGCCATCATTATTCGTCGGCCAGAGACCATGAATCCCAAAGTCTGATGCTGGTTTCCCATTCGAGGGATAGCAACAACCTTGATCTGTATCGCAATATGATCCTGGCCACTGCATAAAAATGTACAGAATTAGCGTGCTTTTAGCCAAATTATTGAAGTCCAGTGTGATTCATATATTGGCACATGATATAAGCCTCACCTGCTGAACAAAATAAAAGAAATCAAAATCTTGTGCAACGCAGAAAGCTAAGAGAAACTGTACAAGGAAGAGCTTGGTTAGGACTGAAATATTGAGTTGCGCTTCCATTTCTACTGATTTACTATCTGTATTGTTAAAGTTTTCCAATTATGGTGGTCCCATTTATAGCCAGCAAAAGAATACAAGCTTTATGTGTGAAATGAGGCTATTGACTGATATGTTTCTGCTTGGCAGTTTGCTTCGTGTCTTTCTCATTCAGACAGAAGAACTGGAAAGTTCTTCCGATTATATGCGGATATTCCTTATCTATTGCACGAATAACCAAAGGAGTTTGATCTATCTATTTTGATTGATGTCGTTTGACTGATGCTAGGAAGAGGTCTCCCCTCTGATTGAGATTGCTTGTGGAACGAGTTGCTGTACAATTTTTAGACAAGTTGGAACATGCCAAGAAGCACAAGAAGTTGTGTGGAGCTGACTTCAAAGCAGGACTAGCGCCAAGTCTGGCCTGTAAAACCAGCGTCCATCATGTTTCCAGAGGATAACCGATCCAGAGACTAGGAGTTCATTCTATTTTAATTTATGTGCGTTTGACCGATATTAGGAGGAGGTCTCCTTTCCCATTGAGATTGCTTTGATCACTGATTCCTAAAAAGGGGGATGCGGTATTCAACGAAGCCGTTTTAGAAAAGCATAGAAGCTTTCCCCTGTAGTGTATTCCATTAGTTCAACTTCCGGCCAGTGGCAATGACCCTGATGAAATTCCAATGCATAGCTTAGTCCTTGTCGTAAAGGAGAAACTTTAGAGAAGTCAGAGAGGTCTAAGAAAAAGCAAGGGTGAATGGAGCAGCTTCGTAAATCGTAAACTTCTAGTTTGTAATTAAGGTTTTAGAATGAAGATGACAACTCAAGTTACTTGCCTGTTGAACAAGGTAGAAGAAATCGAAATCCCGTGCAACACATTCTAGTATCGTGCATTGCAGTTTGGCAATATAAATCACACAAAAAAAAAATATGGGTCTGACTTCCATGCTTGTAGAATATCGAAGTTATCTGCAAATTGCTGAAGCTGAACATCTTTGGAAGATTTATATGATGGAAAGAAATGTCAATTTCTTTTTGGGTTATGATACTTAAAAACATTACCTATGATTCAGATCGCCAACTCTGATCTCTAGTTATTACTTAATCCATTTCAGTCACTGCATTCACAAACCTTTGCCATGTTTAATATGACAATTTGGTGCTCAGTCATTAGACTTCGAATCATTAAGCAGGTGGCTTAATTTGTCATGCTCTCATTGCACTCCATCATGTAAGCGATGATAAATTTTACTTTCAGTGCTGTGCCTTGTTTAACTGAAGTACGATATTAAAACGCACTTTCGGTATCTTAGTAATTATTAGGAGAATAGTTCTGGCTGAAAACTTGGATGCTATTTTCCTTTATTTTACAAAATCCCAAGAATCAAACCTCCGACCTCACACACTTTCTGAGGCTGATGTCCATCTACCTACTGGAATCACACTACATGATGAAGAAATTTGAAACTCTTTATACTAGCATCTTGCCTCCAGCCCTGGGCTTTAATACTCTGGCTAAAATTCGAGTTGTTTTATAACTGGAAACCTGAGTCATTGCCACATATATATATATAGTAATCCATTGGATTTGAATAAATCCAGAATCGCCTAGCTTTTGATTGGCCTCAATTTTCTGATAGATGAACTAGTTGTCACCAGGACTTGGATTGAGCACACTATAACGTGAGTCACATGTAGAGCTCAGGTTTTGCATTCCTCCAATACGGAATCCAGAGTCCACTAGTATTTCATTATTCCCAAAGAAAGGAGAATCAGATATAGTACTACTATAAACAATTGGGCTGATTGATCTTCAAAGTTCCAAACCACCCGACACTGAGTTACTGCATATTCAACGTCTTTTGCCTAGAAAGCGCTAGTCCCAAATGACTCGAGATTTGGTTTGTGAATCAAGAGATTATTGAGGAAACAGGGAACACATGAAAGTGGACATGTCTTTTGTTATAAGACAAAAATAGCTGTCACTGCATGACAATAATGCATTCACTGAGCTTGATTAGTAGTCATAGTACAAGTTCATCATGAGTCAGCAAATGCGTGTTTAGAACCCCACTTATTCTACTCCAATTATTAGACATGATATTCCCCACCAAGAGGTGGAAAGCAAAAAAAGATTATTAATCTAATCTCCATTAGGGTCCCAAAATGATAGGAAATTCTACGGAGGTATTGCATGCTCTCTTAAGAGTCACTGGACACTCAATGAGATCTGAACCAGCAGCATCCACACAAAGATAAACCTGGTAGAGCTGGATATTGCCTGAGGCATTAGTATTGCATTCAATTACCGGAATGTAACCTGTTCCTGCTTTTATAGCTTCTTTAATGTCATCTAACTTGTAAAGCGTCCCGTCTGGTTGAATCCCTGTAGCAGAAGATTATACCTCTAGCTTGTCAAAAAAAAACACACACACACACAATGGTAAATTTTAACCGCAAAAGTTTGACAGCAAACAACTATACAACTAGCTAAACTGAATACCCGCATTCTTTAGTACTTGAAGGATATTGACTTTGTCCTTGATACTAAGAGCTGCTGCAAAGTAACCATGCTGGTCAAGTACAGGCAATGCACAGGTTCCATGTTTTGTCCATTCATGCGTCCAAAACTTGGTCGTGGTACTTTTCTTTCCTCAATTGAAATTCGGCCAAGTCTTTTGCATTTCGCTGATTAAATCTGAGATCTGAATACGCAAGAATATGATTCACACCCTAATCAGCAAAAGGCTTGCAGACTCCATAGAGTTGTTAGTGAATCAGTTTCTTTGCAGACACAACTACATGTGACCAAAAATCAGCTTCTTGTACGTACTCCTCTTTGGAGAAGCCAATGGCAGGTTTTTCAATCATCATTCAATTCGTGCATTATCTGCGTACATTCATAATATATGTGCGCATGCAGAACCAAAGAATTGATCGGGCCGAGATATTTCTAGATGTACCTTGGTCTCATTGTAGTGGCTATTAGGATTGCAGTCTTCTGGGAAGGTAACATTGTTGAAAACCGGCCAGAGGCGATGAATGGTGAAGTCTGTTGGCTTTCCTGCGGCTGGATAGCAGCAAGTTCTCTTTGTGTCGCAATATGCTCCGGGCCACTGAATTGACATTGCGAAGAAGAAAAAAAAAATTGCTGTTTTAGAACTTAGGCAAATTGTTAGAAGTGAAGAAGGACATCGATAATTTTCAACTCAAGAAGACCCACCATTTGGACAAAGAAGAGAAAATCGTGGCTCTGAACTATGCATAAATAGCACAGGCATTGCAGCACTAAAAGGTGAAAAGAGATTAAGCTGCTGAATTGCATATTATAAAGGAATGCAAAGGATATAATATCCAACAAATTAGTAGAGATAGTAGTGCTGCTATCTTGGCTGCTGAAGTCGCTATTTAATGATGAAATGAGATTATCCTAAAGAAGAAGCAGTAGCAACAGTGTGATGATATTAATAATTTATTTTAACCAAGATTAGTTGGGGTGGTAAGTTTGGTTGGTGAACTTCAATCAGTTCTGAATGTGTCTCTAATATGAAAAATTAAATAGCTCGAGACATGCAAGTGAAACATAATTGACGAGTAATTTATCAAAAAAAAAAAAAAAAAAATCCGGAGAGTAATCTATTGTGGGAGATCTTTGGATGGTTCAATCTACGGATTCTCCACCAGGATCAATTAACAGATTCTATGGCCGGTAGTACATGATCATATCATCTTTGTTCTTTTATTTGCCCACATGTCTTTGTGATAACAATAAGTTTGTGGTTGTGAACCAATAGATGTTTGTCAGTCTCCATCTATAATTGGTGATGAAGCCACTCAGTATTAAGATTGTAAAACAAGACCGGTTAAAACTTATCTCGCTCAATCATTGAGATGAGCCCGATCTGTAACGCTCATCAGCAAAGTGAAAAAACACTGCAATCAGTCAACATAATGCAATCTTGAAAGTTAGCAATTGAGATCGTTGATAGATATAATAAAGCGATTGTAAGAAATAGTAATCCCAAATTTTCACTTTATTTGACGTGAGAAGAAGAGGCTGTCATAATTGAACGTAAATATGCTACGAGAAAATGTGGCCTTGAAACTATATAGCCGACATTCCCTTATTGAATTCCATGTGACCTACCACAATGCTTGGATTTGCTTTCACTGAGATAAAACTTGAAATTGCAGTCGTGGAATCAAAGGAACTCATCCCAATAGAAATATCTATTTCTGTTTTTCAGTGTTTAGTATTAGGAAAGAAAGCAGAATCAAAGGTGTAAATAAATGAGCTAACAAGATATGCCAGCATCTTTAAATTTTGAACCCAACACTCAATTGCTGTACGTTCAACATCTTCCCCTAAAATGCAAATCCAAGCAAATGGATAAATAACGAAACAGGAAATACATTAAAAAAAAAAAAGCGCTCCCTTCTTTTATTGTAGGAGAAAAATAGCTTCACAGCCTGACAGACAATGCATAAAGTCAACTTTACTAGTACAATTTCACCATAAGTCAAAAACAGCGGTTTTACAACCCCACTTATTCTTCCCGAACAAGATGTGGACAGAAAATTATTAACCCAATCTCTGTCGTGGTCCCTAAAGCATAGGAAGCTCTATGGATGTATCCCTCTTAAGGGTCACTGGACACTCAATGAGGGATGAACCAGCTGAATCCACACAAAGATAAACCTGGTAAAGCTGGATATTGCCTGAGGCATCAGTATTGCATTCAATCACTGGATTGTATCCTGTTCCAGCTTTTATGGCTTCTTTAATGTCATCTAACTTGTAAAACTTCCCATCCGGTTGAATCCCTGCGGCAGGTTGTTCACCCTAGCTTGTCAATATTATTAATTTAACCACTGATTTTTAACTGCAATTTATCAACAGCAAATACTGAATAATCTGGCAAATAAATATATGCCTACCTGCATTCTTAAGTATTTCAAGAAGATTTACTTTGTCCTTGATATTGAGAGCTGCTTTAAAGTATGCATGCTGATCAAGAACATCTTCTGAACAGGTACCATGTTTTGTCCATTCATGCGACCAGAATTTGGCACTGCTACTTTTCCTCCCACATTTGAAGGTTGGCCAGGTCTTTTCCAATTTAGTTGTTAAATCTGAGACCTAAACACAAAGAACAATGACTCTAGGGAGTTCTATACCTGATGAAAGTTGACACTACTTCATTTTAAGTTATTATTGATTCCTTGGAATCTGTTAATTCATAGCTTAGAGCAGCCAAGTGGTACTGAAGCATCGTCCATTCCTGTTTCAATTTCAAAGAATTTTTGACACTGATTGTGAGAAATAACCTTTAGAGATTAACTAGCGGGAAGCAGCATGCAGTTACCTTGGCTTTGTTGAAAGGGTTTTTACGGTTGCAGTCCTGTGGGATGGAATTATTGTTGAAATGAGGCCAGAGGCCATGAATGGTGAAATCTGTTGGTTTCCCTGCAGCTCTATAGCAGCAGCTAACTCTCTTTGTGTCACAATATGATCCTGGCCACTGAATTAACATAGCAAATTAAATTAAAGAAGGAAACGTTTTGTAGTTTTAGTATTTACACAAGGACTTAGCACAGCAGAGCAACGTATTTTTTAGCTGAAGAGAAAACTCACCATTTGGACAACGAAGAAGAAGTCGTGACTCTGAACGAGGCAAATATATGACAGACATTGCAGCGAAAAAAGGTGAAGAAAGACTAAGCTCTTGAATTGCATGCTTGCAGGAATGCAAAAAATTATCCAACAACAACTCGATAGTGGAGATAGTAGTGCTGCTATATTGGTTGCTGGAGGGACTATTTATAGCTGAAATGAGAGTATCCAAAAGAAGCAGACGTAGCAAGACGTGTGAAAATATGACTAGCAATTTTTTGTAACCAAGATTATTTGGTCATTTGTTTGGTGGGCAACCTTCAATTAGTTGTAAATATACGTCTAATGTAAAGAATTAAATGGCTCGAGACATGCTAATGAACCACTGATACAACGTTGAGTGTGCGAGTAATATATCAATTCTTTTTGTTTTATTCAATTATTTGTTCTTGGCCGGAAGAAGTAATCCACCGTTGAAGATCTTCAGAATAGCATTTATAAGTAATAAGTTAAGACGATCGAAATGGTAAATCGATGGGATTGTAAACTCTTAGAAATTAGAGGAGACAATTATGTGCTTGATATGGTTATTCTACTTTGCCCATTGTATTTTGTATTTTCTTGGGTATTAACAAAATCTTCCCCACCCAAAAAGAAAAGAAAAAACAAAGGAAATTTTCTAGAATGGGAGGTTTTCTTACAGAATCACTAGCACAAATATATGTGAAATTGACTGGCACAAATGTCTACTTCTCACCGAGGCTCCTTCGTTCCAAATTTGCATGTGATATATAGGATACCGACCAATCTAACTTCCATTTTTTGTACTATTGTTTATGACTGTTCAATCTGTTGATATGTTTGGCTGGTAGTAAAAAAACAAGCCATCTTTGTTCTTTTATTTGGCTATACATATGTCAGATTTGTTTGATCACAATAAATTTGTGGTCCAATAGAAGTTTGTCACCTTCGAATATCAATAGTCCTCTCATTGTGACAAAGCCAATCAGATTTAAGATTCTTGAAACCGGACCGGTGAAAACTTATCTATCCCAATCATTGTGATGAAACCAGAACTGTAATTTGCAACAGAAAAATGGGGAAAAGAGAAAACCACAATGAATTTAATTGCATTACAACAGTTAGTGACAGAAATTGACTGATGGATAGCTCTTGTAAGAAAATATTAGTCCCAGATTTGAGTTTCATTCCCACTTTTTTTGTATTATGCAATCCCATCAGGTTGAATTTGATGACTCCTCATCTCTTCAAAGAGAGATAGCCTCATTACCACAACCATGAATAGTATATGCATGATCATCGTCGACCATGCTTTGTGTATCTTTGAAACTCACGTCCTTGGAAACAGACACAGCATCCTCCAAACTCCCACATTTTGCATACATATCAAGCAGATCAGTATTTGACCTTAACATATCGATCAAATCCATTTTTCTTAACATATTCGTCTAACCACTTCCCAAGTTTCAGTGCTCCCAGCAATGCACAAGATGAAATAACACCAAGAACCGTCACATCTGCTGGCTTAATTCTTTTAACCTGCAATTCACGAAACGACGACAAAGCCTCATTTGGCTTACAGCTCCTCAATAACCCATAATCAGCATTGCAAGTCACAACACATGGTTCTACTACACTAACAAAAACACAACGGGCCCAACCAATTTCTTTACTTTCACTGTACATATTGATATGGGCAGGACAAACATACATGTCAGTCTCCAGTCCATACTTCATTGCAAGACAATGCACTGCATTGATTAGAGAAGGGAAGGTGTAATTATCCAGAACCTGGCCTGAACAGAGCATCTGAACGAAAAGGACTAAACCCCACGGGCCATGAGGTTGAAAAGAACAATATCCGGGTCTGGAATCTGATCAAACAAGAGTTGGGCATGGTGCATTGAAGCAAGGAAAGGACTTAAAGTACAGAAATTAATGAGCTTTTTTACGAAAAAGATATCATTTTGGAGATGGGTTTTGATGGAATAAGCTTGAATTTGTTTGAGCTCTCTCAGAGAATTGCATCTGGTTAAAAGATAAAGAGGGTGAGCTTGAGCGACGCCGTCGTTTCTTGGGCTGTCAGTGGTGGAATTTGGTTAAGAAAATGGCTTAATTTCGACGCTAAAGAAGCAACATAAAGCTGCCATGCAACGTCGTCGTTTGATTGTAGCCAATGGTGTTGTGAATTTTGAACGCCGAAGAGGGAGGAGGATGGAGGAAGCTTTTAATAAATAATTTTCCAGTCAACCGTAAGCCAAATGGTTTAAATTTTAATCAAAAAGATGAAAATATCCACTTGGTGACGTTAAGGCGTCCCTTTGAAGTTTGAACGGTGGAAGAACCACGCCTTTGTATGCACATAGGAAAACTCTTATAAGTGAGAAGCAACAAGGGTGTCCCCTATTTCTCTATTTGACTAATTTATCATCTTTATCTTTTAGCGGGACCACGTCTCTATCTAACTTGTTTATGCATAAATTTATTTTTTCTTTTTCATTATGGATCTTTTCAATCTATTACTTCATACACAGTATTTAACAATTATATGTTTCAATATGACTTTTTTTCATGTATTCAAAATAATTAAAAAAAACTCAATATTCTTTTTCATTTTTTTGTATTCATCTTTTATGGATTGGTTGGATTTTTGGATGTCTTTTGGAAATAAGATAAAGTTTACATAGGCCTTCATCTACATTGCTATAGATGACCTTTTTTTTTTTTTTTTTGTATTCCTAAGTTTAGGAAAAACTTTCATGTTCTTTTTATTTCTTTTTTCAAAGTCTATACGTATTTCAAAGTAACCATAATATCGTAAGATAAATGTACAACAGTTAGTGTTTCAAGTGTGAATTTTGATATGTTAATTATCTTTCATGACTTAAGAGTATCATATACTAAAAATTTAAAATACGTTGTTTCTTTTTCTTTTGGCAAAGTTCTAAGGTTATTTTCTTTTTTGTGCTATTATCTATATCTATATACATTTGAAAAGGGATTTTTAGCAACAAACCTCGACACATCTTCCCACTACTGTTAGTTACTTTTTAAAATCATTTCATTTCAAATTGTTGGTTAATGTGCATGTTATCCTTTTTTTTCTGACGGAGTGGGTGTCCGGGTCAATCCTTACGAGGCGTGACTAATCCCACTCCAACCCAGGTGGAGAGGCCCCATCCTCCGAACGCGTTAACAGCGGGACTCGAACCCTGGTTGCTAGAAAAGTCGCCATACTCTAAAGAAGGGGAGCGGATCCCTCGAGCTACCCCGTAGGGGCGTGCATGTTATCCTATTTGAACTTCAACCTATCACGTTTCCAATTGTCTTGCGTTATCTATGATTCTAATCCAATCAAAACTTCTATAAGACCATGACAAGAGATAACAAATATAACCTTATTTCATGCTTTCTTATTAATTTAAATAAGTAAGATTATTTACACTCCATTTTTGTTATTCACACTTCAATAATCATTTTGATCATATAGTTTCATTAATTAGACTATATGATAAAACAAATGGTGGAATTGCAAATAATAAAAAATGGAGTGTAAATAACATTTTCCTAAGTAAGGAGTGGCTTCCATGTTTTTCTAATTTAAATAAGTAAGAAGTGGCTCTACTTATATAGGAATTTGGTTTGAAATTTATTAGTGGGAAGGTAAATAAAGAGAAAACATTTCCAAACTTAGTAAAAGTAAAAACGTAAATGATAATATTTTATCTTTTAACTTAATAATCCTAAGTAAAAGAGCAAAATTAAATAGAAAACAAAAAAGAAATAATGTCGTGGATTTAAAAAATAAAAAATGGTACAATTCATTCAATTTAAATTATGAAATCACTAAATAAAAAACAAAGTACTACTGACCTTTCAACGTGGATTTTTTTTTGAAATATTCATTTTTGATCAAAAATAATGATAATAACAACACCAATTCTGCCAACAATTTTTTAAAAAAGTAACATTATAGTTTAAGAGAAAAATGTGAACATTCGACCCTAAAATACTACTTAATTTGTATATATCTGACCCAAATTTGACCCTGATTAGATTTGAATAAGAGTGCAAAACTCAAATATTAAGGATAACTTTTGGTATCATTAATTATTTTATGTATTCTTATTGCTGTCTTCATATGTAAATATGTATTTGCTATGTTAAATATATATATTTATATATTTGTAGTACTTGAAAATATTATAGATATTATCAGTTTTTCATTTCCATTTTTTAGATACTAATAATTGCAACCATCGTAATCAATTTTCAATTTTATATTTTCATTATGATAGATAAAATTAAATCTATTGCGTGGCAAAAATATCAATTTAGAGGTTGGATATGAGAGGAGAAGGAAGGGAAGAAAATGGGAAGGAGTTGAAAAGTGGCGAGAAAGGTTGAAGAAGAAATGTGTGTTATAAGAATAGGCGGAGAAGAGAGAGAGAAGAAAGGGGATTATAGGAATATGACAGAGATGACAAAAAAAAAAAATAGACAGAGTAGTACCATGATAGAAGATACGAAAGTCGTAGGAGGCATCTCATGACTAACTGGCGGATAAGAGAAGAGGGAAATGATGGTGATTTTTAATAATTTTGAGATTTCTAAAAACATATATTACATAGATTTTTTTTTAAATATACGTTAAAGTTTATGAGAAATGCTAATCTAAATGCAGTCAACAATTTTAGCGGTACATGATAGGAGAAAGATTTTTTTTCTAAAATAGAAGAAAATAAATTGGTTATAATTTATTTTTTTATATTATAAGTTTTGATATATGAGTATAACATATATGTTTTGTTGAGTACTGATAAATTGATTTTTTTTTTAGAAAAATTTTCTCACCTTATCATCCAACCTAACCTTCTCCTTAAATACGTTGACAATTCCTCTACCATGTAAATCATTATAAATTAAAAATTTTTCCACATATTAAGCATATACTTCTTTAAAATTTTTAGTTTATATATATATTATTCTGTACCACAATATATAAATATATATAATATTATTTTGATTTGAAATATAATCCGGTGCATAGTACGGGTCAAAATACTAGTAATGGACAGTTTTAGCTTTGGTTGAAACTATATTATTTGAATTTGAAAAGTTTAGTGAATAACCGAATAACTTGCTCTGTTTAGAATCACTCGTCAAGAAGTTAAAGAAACAAGAATTTATTGGAAGCCCTCTTAAGTTTTCTTGTTTTGCTTATCATTCTGTTGTAAGAAAAGACTTTAACGCCTATGGAGTGTGATTAGAGTGAGATTA